AGGAGGGTCGTGTGCAAGGGGAAGCTCCAAAACGAGCAAACGTGCCAAAAGTTCAGATAATTTGCGGGGCTATAACAACAGGCTTGCTCTTGCTTCATTAGAGGATAGGCATCAATAGAGCCAGTGAAATGACTGAAGTGATGCAGCCTGTGTTTTGTGCCATGTCCAACACCGTGGGAATTTCTGGTGAAAACAGTCTAAAACCTTGGCACAAGTCCTGCAGGAGGTGAAGAGTCAGAGAGGTGCAACTGTTCAAAAATTAGCTTCTTTTCATCTTCTAGAGGCACTCTGTGGAATTTAAAATGACTGTAGTCAGTGTTCAATAGGGCTGCCCAGGTATAAATGTAATAAAGCAAATGATTCTTCCATCAGTTATTCTTTTTTGAACTCTCTTCCCAAGATACTGCTCTGCGCACAAGGGAATTTCTGTAATAATTACCCCTGAGTACCCAGTGGAATAAGTGGTAATTACATTGTCTAATCATAGAAATAGATTCTTGTGCCATCAGTTCCAAAACCGACACGAAGCCTTACTCCAAATTTCTAAGGTTTTTTTAGCTTTCCTATTCCTCTAGCACTACAAGATTGAAGATACACACAGGGTTGCACGGGCTTTCTTGCTCTGCATCTTATATGAACTACCTGCCTCCTACCTTGTATAATAAACAGTTGCTGTACCCTTGGGTTCCTTTCCTCAGCTGCAGAGTAGCGACAGCAGATGTTCTGCAAAATGAAATCCTTCATGATTATGGGATTGCTCAGAGGGCCATAATACCTACCCACCCCCAAGAGGATGAGTCAGTCAGGCAAACTAGAATACTATCAGCACACATGGAAATCATAACACTGTTAGTAAACCATGCCACCAAATGGAGGCAAAGAACCAGATGCAAAACTGGCAGAAGAAACTTATACCTGTGTTGTGATGGTCTGAGAGATCATATAGAGTACGAAGGAGAAAAATTATTTCATTGGACAAAGGCCCACCTTCACCACCAGGTATTTTTGCCAAGCTAGAGTGTCTCAGGAAGAATGAAAATGATGAAAAAGCTAAAAGGCAAACTGAGATCTTGGAGACAGTATGTGCAATTTGTACCACTGTCCTAGAATGTCTGCTCAGTATCAGTTCACAATATTCTACTCCTTCACAGTTATGTACTAACTTTCACACTTAATTACAGAAAAATAATTTATCTCATCAGAGACTGACTTGCTGAATTAAAGATTCTAAATTACTTTTACATGCCTTGGACCAAGGCACCAAATATAAACCCTCTGTCTACAGTTCAGTCTCTAAATATAGCCAAGAATTAAGATATTCCTGCTTCTGCATCCTAAATAATCTAATGGAATCAATTATGGTTTTGCGTAGATGACATCTGGTATTTGCAATTACAACATGAAACACAAAATCCAACCAAAATAAGCATGAAACTAAAGTTTCCACCCATCCTACTTCACCCTCAGTAAACATGTTATTGTTTTGCATCATGGGGTGGATTTTTCATATATTTCTTATGTACTTCAGCTTAGAAGCTCTCCAAGAGAATGTAACACAAGCAGAAGAAAAGGGCTGATAACTTTGATTTCAGCCAGTGGTTGCCAGATGAGTAAACATCATTCATGTTTTTACTGAGAACACTGTCCCATTGCTTGGATTTTCAGCCTTGCACTTTTACTGGTCAGCGTGCCAGTCACGCCAAGCTAAATAACAGTTTGCATTGTCAGATGCAGCAAGGTTCAGAGTAAACACCGACATCAGCTGTGGAAAGGACAGAATCTGAAATGGATTAAATACAACTCTGTCCCACTGTGCCAGTAAGATCTTCACCCATTATATTTGGAAGCTAAGGATAGCCCCACTACACAGTATCCATGTTATCAACCCTTGCAGCACTTTCCTGGCATTGTAATTAATGTTTTACCCTCAAGCAGCCAAACATACTGTATTAGGGCTAGAATGCAAACTAACCCTGCATGTAAGGACACAGGATCTGGGGAGCGGTTCTAAATAGATAAGTATAACTGTACCTGCAATCAAGGACTGCCCTCTTCCTCCTCCAAATAATGCACGGTCAGGAAGGGGATGGGTCATGTCCCTCCCCATACTCCAGAGCAGAGGCAGAGCATAGCAAAACGAGTAGCCCGGCCCTAAAGACTGGCCAGCCTGTGGGCTCTGAGCCGCCTGGGAGCTGAATGGAGCAGCCATGCCTCCTGAAATGCTCTACAGTGAAGGGCCACGTTTCCTCACAACTCCTGTTGCTACCATGAACTGCCAGACCTGCAAACCTCCGAAAGAGTTGGCCATGGCAGTTCATAATAAATGGTGAATGATGGAGAATTTTCAGTGGTATAGGTTGCTGGGCAGGGCTGAGGACGTGAACCATTCCCGTGAAACCACCCTTCTGACTGCCCCCCCGGCATGCCACGCGCTGCGCGCTGGAAATTACAGTCGCAGATTTTACCTTTCTTCAGCTGCACAACTCCCGCCTGTTTCACCATCGCTTCCTGCCAGCCCGAGCAGGGACGGAAGGAAATGGTCCCCATGCTCCCCTTGCCTGCCTGATCTGTTTCCTCGCTTGCTCTGGCCCAGGTGCTCACATCTTCCCAAGGTGAGCGTGACTGGGACGTGAGCCAAGTTAAAACTAATTTTACTTTTTTCTTTCCCCTCTGGATTAATTTTAAATTATGTCTACTCTTTTATCCCATTCACCAAGTACCTGCACAAATGCTGCTGCCAGCGCAGAGAAGGGGACAGCTCAGGTGAGGGAATGAGTGACTGTGAGCCGTGCAGGAGAAAAGGGAGAGAGACATTTATTTCAGTGGCAGCAGCAGCTTCTGCTGTGTTAAAGTTATTGTGAAACTACAGCAAAGTCACCAACTGTCATCATCATGTCTGAATGGATAACCTTCATCCTGTCCCCTTGTATTTACAGTGCAACAGACTCTAGCCATAGTACATTTTTTATATATATTTATAGCTAAAATTGTGTAAGAAATGCATGACTTTAGGTACACAGATGGAATGCATGGGATGTTTTCATTCCAAGATCACAGCCTTACAAATACCTAAATATGGGTAATTTCACTGGTTTCTGAAACTAATAAATGTTGTGGTTTTATACAAATGTTTCTAGAATATCTCTCCCTATCAAGAAGCAAACGTCCCTTGTGAAAATATCTGGCTTTAATTCCTTTAACCATAGTTGTAGCACTTGCTGAAGCAAGTAGTATTCACAGCATGACACAGCTATCTATGAAATAATTTAACTGCATCATGCGCAGTCAGCAGTTCAGCACTGTAGTGTGGAGAAAGTGACTCCATACTGTCACTCACTCTCTGAG